ATTTGAATTCTGTACAAATGAAACCTTAACATAAGAGCTCTATTTATAAGAGGTCAGTTATTCTAGTTCTTATAGGAAAATAATATTGTAATTCTTATAAGACAATAATATCCTACTTCTTATAGGAATTGGTAATAGTGATGAAAATCATTTTCTTCATAGGATATGAATTTTCTGCTTTGGCTCTATTATCCCAACAATATGTAGATATGATAATTATGAAATAGACATAAGACATCAATATTATCATCTCTAGTACGTATTGTAATTTCAAACTATACTTTCATTACTTTATAAGAGGTAATTTTTTTTTAATATCTTAAAGGAAAAAAAAAAGTAAAAATTTTCAACACAAAGAATTTCTATGGAGTAGCTCTCTAAACGTTTGTGCATTGACATATCTAAATGAAAATATAAATCTCTTTTTTATTGTGAATATAATAGTAAAATTACACTTATTATCTATTAGTATAAAATTTTAATTTAGTATGTGATTTAATATATTAAAAAATAACAATTAAATCTTAAATTTAGAGAAATTATGTGCCACGACCAATCTGGAGATCCCGAAAGAAAAAGTTTCAATTTTGTTTCAAATTTAGCCAGTTGAACACATGTAAGCTATTTTGTTGCCTATTTTGCCCCTATTATACTTTAATTAATTTTATATATCATTTTGAGTTAAATTTTAGATAGATGGATAGGTTAATTCCAAAATAAATTATTTGATTAGACTTTAAAATTTAAGATTGAAAAAAAAATTGAGGCATTAAAAATAAATGAAACACGTATTGTACTAAGAATTTTTTTTCAGGCTAAATATGTGCTTTTTAAGTCTTTAAATTTAGGCGTTTTTCTTTAAATATGTGCTTTTTAAGAATTATATTTTTCAGGCTAAATAAATGATATACGTATTGTACTAAGAATTTAGTGTTTTACAACTAGGGTGACAATAGAGATAATCCTTCCTTATACATATTGTTAGGACGGTAAATAATAAAGTCGTAAGTTGGCTAGAAAAAGGTAATTCATGGTATATTATTGAAACACTTATCGACATTTTCATTTGACACTTTCATATATCCAGGATCTGATATGGCCATAGGGTGAATCAAAATTTCTATGGTATTGGAAAAAGATGGATAAAATATATAAGAAAAAGTATCAACAAAATATCACTCACATAATATTAATACTAATAATATTTTTACTAATTAAAAAGATAAAATGTTTATATGTTAATTTAAATATTTGTTATGATTTTTTAAATTTTTATAATTTTTCTAGAAATATCTATCGGCATCGACATTTTAGTGATATTTTCATCAATATTTTCATAAAATTTAAAACTTGACATTTCTATTAAAATCGACATTTAAAATCTTGGTCACGTCTAAAGTAGACAATATCATACCATTACAGACGTAAGATTAATTATATATTCACATTTCTTGTAAGACTTGTGTTGCCTGGAAAATTGGGATTTTTGACCCCTTTCAATAACCACTTCGGACTTTTGACCCCCTTTTGATTTTTACCTATTTATGACCCCTCCACCTCAGATTTCTGACCCCTCCCCTTATTTTGCTTTGTAAAATTACCAAGTTACCCTCAATTTAAAAAAAGAAATCAAACCCAGCCCTCCCCTCCTTTCCCTCCTTGTCTCGGTCCTTCCCCTCCCTCATTCACTATCTCGTTGTCCATCCCAGTCTTCATCCCGGTCTCTCCCTCACAACCAGAAAGTTCATCTCCGTCGTTTCTTCTTCGTCTCCCTCACTTCGTCTCTATCAGAGCTTTCCCCCTTCCCTAATTGAGGTAATTTTTCTTTCGAACTCGCGATCTTATTGTGAATGATTTTCTACATTTTTTTCTTCGTTCTTTGCGTGGGTGTGAATGATTTCAACCTTCGGCTCTATCTGAAGTAGCCAAGGTTATTATGAAGTTTGCTTTATTGTTGCTTCCATTGTTTTGTTTTAATTTTTGACTTTCAGGGTTCCATCTCGGCTTTAAGCCCAGTGGATTTAGGACCGGGATGAAACCCTGAAAGTCCATTCCAGATTGGGACTTCTGGAATCCCAATACGTACATGGAAATTGACTGGGTTCTGGAATCCATCTTGGGACTCATCCCGGTTCGAAATTGACCGGGACGAGGCATAACATATACGTACATGGAGAAGAATGAAAAAAAGAAGGATAGCGAATGAGATCGAGAGCATAACATCGAGAGCGAGACATCGAGAGCGAGATATCGAGAGCGAGACAACGAGAGCAAGACATCGAGAGCGAGACAGCGAGATCGAGTCAATGAGAACGAGTCAAGGAGAGCGATACAGCAAGATCGAGACAACGAGAGCGAGACAATCCCTATCCCGGTCCCAATCCCTATCCCGGTCTACCCTAGTTTATCCCCATCTCGGTCCCGGTCCCGGTCGTATCTGGACATGAAGGACCGGGCTTGAGTTTACCTTCTATCTCGGTCTCAAACCCGGTTCTAAATTTCATCCCGGTATCAATCCCGGTCCAAGATAAATTCTAGACTTCATTTCTGTTTTCCGTAAAATAACGTTTTTTTTTAGAAAAATGATAAAATTTCGTATCATTACAAGTTTGAAGAAGTACAATATTCTAAAATGATGAAATGGACATACCTATATTGTGAAAACAATGGATTTGAGATAACGGATTATGTGGGGACCGATCGATTGGATAATGTGGGCCAACAATCACGTGGAGAAAATCTTGAGTATTGGAAAAAAAAACATGACTTGCGTGTGTGTTGTGATTTGGAGTTGAAAAACAAAGTGAGAATTGTTAAGTTGGTGGTTGGTGGGTTGGTTGGAAATTTATTATATCATAAATGCATTTATTATGAAATGAGGGCAATTTCGTCAATTTACATGATAAAATAAGGGAAGGGGTCAGAAATCTGAGGTGAAGGGGTCATGAATAAGTAAAAAACAAAAGGGGGTAAAAAATCCAGAGTGGTTATTGAAAGGGGTCAAAAATCTCAATTTCCCGTGTTGCCTTGCCTAAGAAAAAAAATAGAAAATACTCCGATTGTGTGCTCACCACCTTTGACAATTAAGAAGAGAAATTAATAGAGAATTTTATTAAAAATAATGAATCATAATTTATCAATAATAGTTAGATAGATCCCCAATTAAGACTTAAATATTTTCTAAAAAGAAATTAAGGGTTAATATGAAGACTAAATTAAGAAAATTCTAAAAGATTAGCTACTCTTTGATATTTTAAACACTTTAATTTTATTTTCTTTATAAAAACAACATGGTATATAAACAAAACTTGGGCTCGCCCGACATGGAAGAGTTAGAAAGAAGTTTTGTTTTGGACATAATATTAATACTAATTAATAGTTTTAAAATTATTTAAAAACAGTAAAATGTTTATTTTTTAATTTAAATATTTATTATGAATTTTTTATTTTTAAAATATTTTCAAAAATAACTTTCAACATTGACATGTTAGTGATATTTTTATAAGATTTAGACCTCGATATACCTATCAACATTAACGTTTAAAACCTTAGTTATGCCTAAAGTAGACAATATATCATACCATTATACTACTAGAAAGCTGGTCTTTCATGATAGTCGTGAACCGTAAAAAAAAAGTTTGGAAAAGAAACTGTCATAAATTGTGGTGGTGCATTTTTTGTGGAAAAAACGCTACTTTCTAGATTTTTATTTTTTATTCAATGATAGTTAAAAATTATCTCGCAATGGTAGATGAGCGATTTCGCAGAGAAAAAAACACTAATTTTCGGAATTTTTATAATTTTGTAATAGTTAAAAACTGTCACTGAAATTGGATTTTTTTATTTCTATTAAAAGAGAGTTTTTTTTTTCCATTTCATGATAATTAAAAAAAAACATGATATATAGTCTTGCTCTCGTTTTTCAGAAATCAAGTACGTTTTAACCATCACAACTTTGTTTAACAATTTCAGATTATACATTAAAAAAAATTTGTCACAAATAGTTTCAGGCTTCTTTTTTCCCTAAAATTCAATACTTTCTCTTAGTGTCATTAAGAACGTTCAAGAAATGATTTAAAATGATTATCTTATTTGGAAGGATAATAATTTAAAATAAATATAATTAAATTTATTTATTTGGATCTTTGCTAAAAAATAAAATAAAACGTTTATCTTGAATCCCACAAAGTTTTGGCTTTTTACAAGATACATGGGATTTCTACGCAACTTGAAATCCACCCATTGTTTTAGTTTCACTTTTTGAAATTCTCGCATTCCTTTCCATCCAAGGTTCTTTGTCCTACAAAGAATCCATGTAATAGTAGTCCTATCCTATCTCATATTTGTCAACATAGCATGCGGAACTTCCACAATCACACAATGTTCTCTTCATTTATAAAAATATCTCTTTCTTTATTTAGTTATAATTTTGTAGTTTTTTTTTTTGTTTTTTGTTTTTTTACCTCATGTAGGGGTGGGGATTCAAACTCTCAACCTTGGATAGACATGTCTTAACCCGCTGAGCTATACCCTGGTTGGCTTTAAGTTCTTTTTGTTATCTATGGTTGTTATGAGATTTTTATGCGTGATTTATCAAGCTTCAATTTGTATCATATGTTTGCCCCTACTTGTAATGCACCACGTTTTCAAAGTAGGCTACTTTTAATTTATGCATAATTATCGAGATATGTGAAATTAATTATAATGTGTTCACCATTCTTATATGAGTTACGTTGAATATGCATATGCGTTTTCCTGAGAAAAAATGGAAAATATTTAAGTTTTGACTGACAAGGACCTACCTTGTGCTTACCCACCAATCAAATGTTTGACAACTAAGCAAGATGCAAAACATAGAATTTCAATGAACCGTCAATTTTCAATTGCGGTCAACATATTAGGTCCTCGTGACTTAGAATCTTTGAAGTTATTTATTTATTTTAAACATGGTATATAAATAAGAGGACTTTGGGTGTGTTGGTTTGTGAAATAAGGAAGAAATGGAAGAACTGGCAGGCGAGGAGGTTTTGGAAGCTGAAGCTCGCATATGGAACCACATCTTCAGCTTCATCAACTCCATGGCTTTGAAATGCGTCGTCCAGCTCGGCATTCCCGACGCCATCGCCCGCCACGACTGCAGCCCCATGCCCCTCTCTCACCTCATTTCAGCTCTTCAACTTCACCCCCAAAACTCCCAATATATCCATCGCTTAATGTGTATACTAGCTCACTCTGGCTTTTTTATAACACACAAAAATGGCAGCGAAGAAGAAGCATACTCCCTTACTAACTCATCTCGTCTTCTCCTCAAACACAACCCTTCCTCTCTATCTCCCTTCTTGCTTTCCATGCTCGACCCGCTCCTCTTGCAGCCATGGCAGCTTCTATCCGCCTGGTTCCATAGCCTCAATCGAACCCCATTTGAGATGGCTCATGGAAGGCAGTTCTGGGAGCACATGGGCAACAAGCAACAAGATGGGGACGTTTTTAATGCAGCCATGGCCAGTGATGCGAGGTTGGTGAGCAATATTTTGTTGGGACAATATAAGAACATGTTTGATGGAGTTAAGTCGCTGGTGGATGTGGGAGGTGGCACTGGAACTATGGCAAAAGCCATTGCTGATGCCTTTCCACAAACACAATGCGTTGTGCTTGATCTTTTCCATGTGGTGGCTGACTTGGAAGGAAGCCATAACTTGACATATCTTCCAGGGGACATGTTTCAAAGCATTCCTCCTGCCGATGTACTTCTATTGAAGGTTAGAGAGAAAACTAAAAATATATGGGTTAAATCACTAGTTTGTTCCAATACTTTGAACTTTTGTTCATTTTAGTCGTCGTACTTTCAAAATGTTTATTTTAGTCTCTGCATTTTGGTCCCTTAATTTTATTTTTAATATCATTTTTTTCCATCATAATTTCAACACAACGACATTACAATCAATATGTTTCTTAAAATTTAAATATTACTTTATACTAAAGAGTTTTTGTTATGTGTAAAATTTGTGTTAAAATTTTGAAAAGAGAGACAAAAATGAACTAAAGTTAAAAGTATAGGGACCAAAATGAACATATTCAATATACATGGACTAAAAATGAACCAATGTTGAAAGTACAGGAACCAAAATAGTATTTTAATAAAATATATATTATTTATCTAAAAGTCTAATGGGAAACATTAATAAATGCAGTGGATATTACATGATTGGAGCGATGGAGAATGTGTGGAGATACTAAAGAAATGCAAAGAGGCAATCACGAGTAATGGAAAAACAGGGAAAGTGATTCTAATTGATATGGTATTAGGTAATAAAAAGGGGGACGATACGTTTATTGAAACTCAACTCTTTTGGGACATGTTGATGATGGCGAATGTCAGTGGAAAAGAACGAGATGAAAAAGAGTGGGCTCAACTGTTCGATAAGGCTAGATTTGCTGGTTACAAGATCTTCCCAGTTCTGGGTTTAAGGTCTCTCATAGAGATTTATCCAAGATGATTGTCCTTTAAATTTTATTTGTTAGTTCTCAAGTTTGAACTATTTGTCTGTACATTAAGGCGTGTTTGTCAGTATATGTGTTGATTGTTGTCAAAATAAGAGTTCGTTACTTTCAACCTCAAAAGTGTTTTGTGATAAGTTGGTAAACTAATTTGTTCAAAATTGGAACTTGTTATGAAAATGTATTTATTCATGTGGTTTACTCATCTCTTTCAAATCTAATTATTTAAAGAAATTATTTAGACGTTTGTAAAAAATACTCTTTCAAATTAGATAGTCTGCCTCAATTTTTTTTTTTAATCATACTTTTTCAAGCTTTAAAAAAAACAATTTCCAATGAAATGATGGGTGTTCATGAAAGCAGCTTTTATATTATACTAGTATTCTAACACGTGTTTTGCATGTATCTCAATTTTATTTTATCATATATTAATGTTAATGTTACTTTAAAAAGGATTGAGCATCTATCAAATATTATAGTATATAGATATTTTAAGATATAATTATAATTTAAATTTCATATAATTCAACGACTAAATATTAAAATATGATTACTAAAAAAATTATTTAAAAAATATATATAAACCGCTGCAAACTTGAAATCTCAAAGGCGGTTCATTTTGAGAAGATGTTGTCGAGAGAGGAACACGATAGGTCAAGAAAGTTCTCATTCAATTAATAGCTAGCTAAGTTAGTTTTGTAGGAGATTGATTGTTGCTGTTCTCTCTAGAATGAAACCTAAAACTTCAAAAAAGTAAAATATTTCCAATAACTTGAGCCATACCCAAGTATACTTGGCCCTAATTTCATATCCAAATGCTTCATTTTGCAAACAACACAACTTTGCATTATCTTTGTTGTATTTTGCTCTGCCAAAAGAAATAAAAAAGTTTGGCCAGAAACCAATTTCTTACTGAATAAAGATACATTAAGATTAACTTTGTACCTTTACTTCATGTAATATTCAAAACATATAATGATATAAGATTTGACAATGTAGAAGAAATAAAGATGAAATTTGAATATATAGAATAGAAAAAAAAATGAAGAGTGTTATTTGGCTCTAAGAATTGCTTTACAACTATGTATATATAGTAATACTTTTAGTTGAAAATGAGAAAATGAAAAGTCATGTATTTATTTACGTTCTACCACCCTTCCAAATTCTATTTTTTTTTTCTCTCTCACATCAACTTTGTCTTTCCTCTACCTCAAAACTCTCTTCCTCACCTCATCAAAACTCCTTCTCTTGTTAATTTTCTTCTCATTATCTCCCTCTCTCCTCCCTATTTACACATATAAATTCCTCTTTTTTTAAGTCTCTCCTCTCTTCCCATGGACCACCTCCCATATTCTACTTATAATTAGGTTCAAACCCTTCCAATTATCTCTCATATTTATTTTATGGGACGCTGTTAATCGATTACTCAAATAAAGTATATTTTTAATAAATATATAATAAATTTGATAGGATGAGATAGTTTTATACTTTATTTTTAAAATAGGATAAGATTGTTTTCTTTTTAACCCTATTTAAATTGTTAGAATATGTATTACCATTATTGTTGCGTTAGGCGGGTGTGAGAATTTTTAAAATCAATTATATTTATGACCAAATTAATCAGGAGGGAAGTAGTTTTGTAACATTAATATTTTTTATATTAATATCTCGAGTAATTTTTTTATTTTATTATTAACTATTTGTCACCGGTGGAGAATTTTTAAAGCCTAACTTTTTATTAATTCAATTAATTGAAAGAGATAATTAGAAAAGTCTTTAGTAATTTGAAAGATTTTGTAACATTAGCAATTTTTTGTGCTAATATTAATAAACTAATTAATTAAGAGAGAGACATCACAATAAATAAGAGAGACAAAGGTGGAATATGAAAATGTTAGACATGAATAGAGAGTATTGGGAGAGATTTAAAGGAAAAAAAAGAATTTAGATAGATAGGGAGAGGTAAGATATAGAGTTAATGAAAAATAATATTAACGGGGAGAGATAAAATTTTGATGAGGGAGGATAGAGGGGAGGGAGGGCTTCACACGAGAGAGAGAGAAAACTTGGAGGGATGGGACAACATAAATGAAACTAAGGATAAATTAGATATTATATATATAATGAAGGTTAAAATCGTCCAATAAATATTTCTTCCACATCCATACTTTTTAATATACTAGTATTTTAGCACATACCCTGCACGTTATTATTTAATTTTTTTAATTTAAGTTAATAGATATTACTATTATTAAAAAATTCAAATAATTAAATAACTCAAACCATTCATAAACTTTTTAGAACAGAATAAAACAATATTAGTTATAAAAAAAATCAATTATAGAAGAATATGAATAACTGGTAATTGTATTTGAGACTATTTTTTTAAAGTATATTTATCTTTTATTATTGTTTAAGATTAAGTTAATAATTATTTATTAAAATACAATATTATATAATTGGTAGACAACACTAATTTGTCTACCAATTATATAATATATTCAAAATACATCAAATTTCTCATACTCCCCATCTCAACATTGGTGGAGTATGATAGGGATGTGAAGAAAATTTTCTTGGATAAAACTATCCTCCACTTTTTATTGAATAGCTTCTCCTTTATTTATTTATTATCATTTAGGAGTCTATTATGCTCTAATTTACGGTTCCATAAATTAGTTTCATTTCAATTTTGATGGACAGATCTGATTAGTTTCGACTTATTTTTATACTTTTATCTCTTTAAAAATTATTTAATTATTAAAAGACTAACTTTTTAAATTTCATTATTAATTATAATTAAAGATAAAATCATGTTTTAGAATTAATTTTAGGAATAATTTGACAAAATTTTTATATTCAACCTTTTCACATTTTTTTTATTGTTAATTTTATGATTGTATTTAAATTATTAGTTCCAATGTATATTTCAAATTTTATTTAATTTTAGAAGTAAAGAAATGAAAAATCATAAAGTCAATATTTTAAATAAATAATATAGAGATGTTTATTTAGTAATGTCAAATTTTATGGAAGCCGAGTAATAGTTCCAATATATTTTTATATTTTTCATTTTTGTAACATTGTTTAGTTATTAAAATACTATAACTTTCCAAATTCCATTATTAATCATAATTTCATTTTAATTAATGCTGGAATTTTAAGAGTCCCAGTGTTTTAATAGTTAAACAAAAATAACAATTTTTTACATTTCTATGTTTATTGAGTCCGACCTCCTCGACCTCCCCGACGAATGACACTGCTGCTTCTTCATCCTTTCTTTTGCTGCAATTTTATTGTACTTTCATGTATTAAGTTCTGAGGCCTTCTCCTTGGTAAATTTCAATGAAACTTTGGCGTATTTATTTTTCACTTCACCTTCCTCTTTTTTTTTTTTTTTACTGCGTGTCTTGGCTAACTCGTACTTCCGCATTAATGTTTTAAACAATCGATAACACTTTAGGGGGCCCCATTTAAATGTAGCTTGACTTGTTTATGGGAAAAGAGTTGCGTTTAAATTGTTTGACAAGTACATAGTATGTCCAAATAGCTCGTTGGACCACGTTTAGTGATAATAAATGCGCAGATGTTGTGTGTTCCATGGGTGGGGGAGTTGCTTCCCTTTAAGGTTGGTCAGGGTGTAAGTCCAGGTCGATTGTCGCTCTCCACCTGAAACGGGCCTTCCCAGGTTGGTTCTAGGGCCCACCCTTTTAAAGGACTTTGCGTAGCACGACGTCGCCAGGTCGGAAGCGGCGTGGCTTTACTCTTGCATCGTAGTATCGCTTCATTCGTTGCTGATACTCAGATAGTTCGAGCTGTGAGGTCTCCCTTCCCTCCTCAAGGAGGTCGAGGTTCAAGCAGAGCTTTTCGTCATTCGTTGGTGAATTGAGGGCTTTGGTCCGAGTTGTTGGTAGACCGACCTTAAATCGGTACCACAGCTTCCGAGCCAAAGGCCAAGGCGAACAGAGTTTCTCCTGTGGACTTTTGAGTGGTCGTCCTATATGACCACAACACCTCGAGTAGCTCCTCGGCCCACCTACCTTTGCGGTCGTCCAACCTTAGCTTTAGGCCGCGCTTAATGAATTTATTGATGGCTTCTACTTGGACGTTGGCTTGCAGATGGGTTGGGGAAGAGCTGAAATGTTTTATTATGAGCTGTGCACAAAAGTGATTGAACTTGGGGTTGTCGAATTGCTTTTCGTTGTCAGATATGATGGCGTGAGGTATGCCGAATCTGCAGATGAGGTTCGTGATTTTGGCTTCGATTATAGTAGCTAACGGCTCGACCTCTGTCCAGTTGGTGAAGTAGTCTATGGTCACCACAACGAACTTTGTTTGGCCCTTCCTAGGTGGGAGAGGTCCGATGGTTGTTGAACATAAGGCATTTCCAGAATTTCCATTGGGACCGACCTGGGTAGCTCGGTCGAATAGGAAAATGCCAGCCTTGCTAGGGCGTCGGCATTAGCGTTTTCGACCCAGGGTATCTACTCTATGGTGTAGTCCTGCAGTCGAGCCAATAGCTCGCATACCTTGCATAAGTATTTCTCCATCCTGTTGTCTTTAGCTTGGTACTCTTCGGTGATCTAATTAACCACGAGTGAGTTTCTCCTTATGCCTAAGTGCGTGGCCCCCATGGCCTCAGCCATGCGCAAGACGACTATCAACGCTTCATACTCTGCCTCATTGTTCGAGGTTGGGAAGTTAAACCTTACTCCATACTCGAACCGATCTCCACTAAGCACTTGGAGAAGGACTCCGGCCCCACTGCCCTTCTCATTCGAGGATCCATCGACATTGAGAACCCATCTGCTTAAGTTCTCTTCACCTGAGCTGAGGGGTGGAGTGAGCTCCGCGATGAAGTCGGCTACCGCTTGACCCTTCATTGCGACTCTCGGCTCAAAGCTTATCTCGTACTCACTTAACACGAGGGCATATTTCATGAGTCTTCCAGAGATTTCAGTCTTTTAGAAGACTTGTTTTAGGGGTAAGTTAGTGAGGACCTTCACCTTATGAGCTTGGAAGTAAGTTCAGAGACGTTGCACTACAACAGTTTGCGCCATCGCTAACTTTTCCACCAGCGGATAACGAGTCTCGACGTCCGTCATGCACTTGCTCATGTAATACACTGAACTCTGTCTGCCGTCGTCCTGTCTTACCAGCACCGAGCTCACCATGCTTGCCGACACTGCGAGGTATAGCATGAGTTCTTCGCTTGGTAGCGGTTTTGATAATATCGGTGCCGTGCTCAGAATACTTTTGAGCTTGTCGAATGCTACCTGGCATTTTGGAGTCCACTCGAAGTGATCGCTCGAATCTTCTCAGAGTTCGCTTCTATTCCGCGTTGGTTGACCATGAACCCCAAGAATTTGCCATACGTGACCCTAAACGCGCACTTCTCTGGGTTAAACTTCATTTGGTACTTTCGGAGGACTTCGAATGTCTCCGTCAGGTCGGCAACATGGGAGGTCGTCTTCTTGCTCTTCACAAGCATATTGTCTACATATACTTCCATGTTCCGACCTATCTGGTCGGCAAACATCTTATTGACCATACGCTGGTAGGTCGCTCCAGCGTTCTTTAGTCCAAAGGGCATGACTTTATAGCAGCAGAGCTCCTGGTCAGTGATGAATGAAGTGTGCTCTTGGTTGCGGACGTGCATTTTGATTTGGTTATACCCCGGGTAGGCATCTGTTAGGGTTGATTTTTTACTGCAGAAACATATGTCGGTAGCCCTGTTTGACCACGTTTTTTACTCCTTTCTCATTATTATTTGCCAAAAAGGATCACATATTCTTAAAGTAGAACTTGCATAGATTATTTCTGTATAAAAAGTCAAACTATGGTACTTTAGGAAAAATATGAGACAAATGCAGTCAAAATTGGAAGAAAATAACATAATTCTATTTTTTCAGAATTGCGCCCGGCTCATTTTTGGAGGACAAATTGTCAAAACACACGTTTTGATTAATGAAGGGCAAGGAGGACATTTCCCACATGTTCAAAACCGTGAGTCCAAGTCCAAGTGAGGTGGTTAGGTGAAGCTCAACCCTTTTCCACCTAAAATGGAGGGGAGTTTCAACCAACCTAGGGTGCAAAGGAAGTCATCCCTCCATCAGCAATACATCCCTTCCAAGCTTCATTTCATCTTCTTTTAGATGCTCTCTAGTTGTAGAACACGTTTTTAGGGTTTATGTTCATGTTCTAGTTGTTCATTTATTCATTTTTCACGCCTTTACCTTTCGTATTGCTTTTAATTCAAGTTCTTACTTTTGTTCTTTGTTCATTCTGTTCTTCTAAAGTTCTTTAGCGAGTTTCAACTCCTCTCACGCTCGAGAGAGAAAATGGTCAAGCTAGAACTCATTGTACGACTTATTTATTCATTTAAATTCAATGAAAAATACTTTTTTTTTATGTTTTTGTGCATTTACTTTCATTTAATCATGTTCTAAATTAGTTATCAACCTCCTTGAGGAATGCCTTAGTCAAATGATTTGATTTTCAACACGCTCGGGATTTTGGCCAAATTGCGGCCAGATTGCGCCTGGCACTTTTTTGGGTTGGTTTCTAAAAACGTCTCTTTACGTCTTTTTTCCATTTGGCCAGTGGGAACTTGATTTATACACCAAAGCCCAACCTTGAGAAAGGTGAGTTAGGTAAAATAATAGGAAACCCATATGGGATGTGACTTAGAAATAAGCGCATAAAACATGGTCCTAGGCATAGGCCCTTTGACCCATAATGCAAATGAGTTGGTAGATATTCTCTAGGATTGTAATCACACATAGGAATATGATTGTAGGTTACCCTAGCCTCTGCAACAACCAGAAGCGGCAGTGAAAGAGTAGAACTCAAATCCCAAGAAAAGTCAGGAATTGCACCCAATACATTTCCCCAACATAGTGTGTTTCCCATGTTTTGCATCAAAACTAAGGTAGGAGACAAGGAGGTTGAGTTTCATTAAATTACTTGTTAGTTAAAACCCCAAACAACAACATTTCACCACTATTTTCTTCCTAAATCACAATTGCATATTTGAACAATTTCACTGAATTACTTGATTTTGAAAAGCAACAAGTCCCTGAAGATTCGACCTTGGATTACTTCCGAGTATTACATATGACCGTGTGCGCTTGTACGAGTCTCTAATCTTTTTAAAGGTAGAGAAAGTCCCAACAGCATCCACGAAACTTAGAAGTTTGTTCCCTGTTGTCGCGTCGACGAGTTGATCGATCCTAGGGAGGCGGAAATTATCTTTTGGGCACGCCTTATTTAAGTTAGTGAAGTCTACGCACATCCTCCTTTTTCCGTTTGATTTTTTTTACTAACACTACATTCGAGAGGCACGTAGGGTAATTAACTTCCTCGATATATTCAGCTTTCAAAAGTTTTTATACTTCTTCTACAATAGCCGCGCTTCTTTCAACATTTACAGGTCGAACAGAGGGGTCTACATTGAGGCGGTGAACCATGATGTTTTGGTCAATTCCAGGCATGTCCTCGTGCAACCAGGCGAAGATGTCGGCGTTGCTTTTCAAGAACTAGATGAGCTCTTCTTTCTCGGTGGCCCCCAGCTTTGTGCCGATGCTTGTACACTTCTCTAGGTCGAGCAACGAGACAAGCTTTAGGTCTTCCATGGGCTTTCTGGGTTCTGCTCGTCGGGGTGTTTTTGTTTCTTCGGGCTCGGGGCCTTCAGTTATCGCATTACGCGTTGGTTTGAGGGCTACCACGTTGCATTCTCTCGAGGTCTTCTGCTCGCCCCCATTACTCCTACTCCCTTGGGAGTTAGGTACTTCATCGCCTCGTGTAGCATGGATGGCAAAGCCTGCAGGGCGTGGATGACGGTCCGCGGAATATCGCGTTGTACGCGGACCTGACTTCGACCACCACGAAGTCCATCATCTTTGAGACTTGGTGTTCTCCTTCCTCCAGAGTCATGGGGAGCTCTATGCATCCTTCAGGCTTGACCGGCTTGCCTGCATCGACCAGCAGGGTGGGGCTAGGCCTCAATTGGCTTATCTCTCATCCTAGAGCGATGTAAGTAGAAAAAGATAGAATGTTGGCTGAGTCGCCTCCATCGATTAATATTCATCTGACCAAGACATGATCGATCTGAGCTACGATGACCAAAACGTCGTTGTGAGAGTTGTGTAGGCCCCTCGTGTCTTCATTCGAGAATGTGATCTGGTACGGGACGAGCTGGGTAGACTAGCGCACACCTTGTGGCGAGCTTTTTGGGTCAAGGCCTTGCACTTATTTCTAGTCTGGACTCTGCTGGGTCCCTCGAAGATCATGTCAATCACTACAGGTCAGTCAGCGCGCTTGGGGGGAGATCGCGTCCTCTCCTTTTCTGTCCTTTCTCCTCTCGAGCAGCCTGCTACACTCCCTCCTCCATTGGGAGCTCGTCCCAAATGCTTCTTGAAATATCCCTTATGGATCAGACCCTCAATCTGCCTCTTCAGGTCGTAACAGTCGGAGGTGTCATGACCGTGGTCCTTGTGGAAGTGGCAAAACTTCGACCTGTTGCGTTTCTGAGGGTTTCGGCGCATAGGGTTGGGCTCAGTGAGCAGGTCGAGCTTTGAGTCTTGAATGTTGGCGAGGATTTCCACCACTGGGACATTCAAGGGTGTGAAGCAATTGTACCGTTCAGGTTAGTTGCACATCTGGTCTTGCTTATGTCGAGAATCACCATCGTATTGTTACTGGCACTGCGGCGACCTCCTAGAATTGTCCCGACCTCTTCTTTCGCATGTGAGGCTGACTCTTGGCGAATCCTTCAGCGACTGGATGAGCTTGCTAGCTTGCATGAACTTTCGGGCTCGCTCGATGCTAGCTTTAATGGTGAACTCAGGCTTCTTAGCGAGTGACCACTTAAGCTGTTCATGGCGCACCCCTGAGGCGAACTTCTCATTGCATGAGACTGTAATCTGCGCGACGAAGAACCTCCCCACATAATCTCTCAGGCTCTCCCTTGTCTTTTGCCTTATAGTGAGCAAGTACTGTGCTGAATGCTGGTCTCTTGTTGGGCTGCGAACTGGGCTATGAAGGATTTACGGAGCTGCCTCTAGGAGGAAATGGAGTGCGGCAGTAGCTATTGATACCATTTCCTCGTGGAACCATCCAGAGTAGCTGTGAATGCCATATAGTTCATCGCATCGGAGTAGGCATGAAAGTCCATAAGTGACTCATAGGTTTCCACATGGTCCACAGGGTCGGCCTACCTGTCGTATTTGTAGAAGCTTGGGAGCTTCCTTTTAAATGAGATCGACACGGTCAAAATAACTTAGGTGAAAGGTGGTTCGTCGGGCTTGTTGTCATCTGAGACAGGCTTTCCCTGGACCTTCCGGAGGTCACTTTTGAGCTCCTTCAGAAGCTGTTCAAACTGTTGTAGTAGGTCCTTGTTGTTGACCGACTCTGACCTCATTGAGAGGTCATCCCTCTTCGTTAAATACTTCTGATCCAAGGCCATGCGAAGGTCTCGCCCGTTTAGTGAGGAGAGGCGGGCGCGCATGTCTGCTTGCTCCCGAGGGCGGTCGTTTCCCCCTAGGACGATCTTCGATGGGTTTGGGCCGATCAACCTCTCTTGGTCGGCCCCAGTGCCCTTTGCTTTCCCTCTTTTGAGATCGCGTTGGATTTCAAGCTCAGAGAGCTTGGGGAGCGGCACCCTTGCGGTCTGTAACGCCTCTGTTAGGGCCGCGACCTGGGCCATCATGGCGTCTATTTCGTCTTGTGGGCCAAGTACTACTTGGACCTGGAGGCGGGATTTCGACCTTTGGGAGTCTGCTTGGGTCTTAGGCTTCTCACCTGTTGGCGGCTTAAATGCGCCTGGCCGAGCTTTTGGATCTTTCGGCTCTTGATTGCTTGACGTTGGACAACCTTCCGTCATGGCTAGCAACTGAGCGATCTGTTTGATTTAGCTGTGACAGCAATCCCCACAGACGACGTCAACTGTTTATGCGAAAATCTGCCAAGGTACGGAAGACGACCTGCAGGTCGTTAGGGAGATCGTCTGGCTTCGCTTGGGAATATTCCAAGGGTACCTGCAAGGGGGTAAGCCACTCTGATGCCTAAGTCAGTATATAATCCAAGCTTAACAGATCAGTGTCAAACAGATTTCGTACCTGAGCTAGCAGTGTAGTGGTGTATTTATAGCGGTCAATGGGGTAGATAGTCGTCCCATCGGGGTTTTCCCCTACTCGCGCTGGGCTCTCCCGAGCGACCTCCGGTCCATTCTATCGACCAGTCTGTTTCCTATCGCACTAGGTAAGATTTGGGCGCTTTGCTTATCCTACCAAGTTATAATAGTTTGGCTTTGCGCCGCTCGACCCCCAAAAATCATCATTATATTTTCTAATATATATATATATATATATATATGTTATATTGTAAAGGCGAATATTTTATATTAATTAGACTAGATTTGCAACTACTCTCTATTTTTTCGAGCCTATATAATATAATATTATTGTTGTATACAAATACACATAGATAGAATTGAAAAGGAAAACGGAACAAAAAAAATCAGTAAAACAGAACCAAAATGGACCAATGAATAAATAAGGCTGAACAAGAATACTAACTTTGTATAAGCGTTGTGGGTAGTAAAATAAAGGTACTTTCGAAAACGACAACAACCTTTACGCGAGGTAGAGTCTCTATAGACTTGAATTTACGGCTCAAATGCAATTTGTATAGAGAATGACATCGTTTTTTCTTTACCAAAACGTCATTTTTAACTGAATCGTGCGTGCGTATTTTTCTTTTTCCACCATGACGTTTCTCAACCCATATTAATTTAAACTATTTAGGGGGCCGTTTTTTTCGTGGGAATCCAAGATCCCATTAGGCGAGAATCTGGATTCTCACATTTGTTTTGCAGGAATATAGGATACGTAGGTGGATTCTCACATTTGTTTTGCAGGAATATTGGATACGTAGGTATCTCAAGATGCTCGTGTATCCTAGGATGTACATACATGAGATATTTAACAAGTTTTTGATGATGCGTTTTTGAAAAACGGGTCACTAAGATTCCCATGTCGATGGCATCCAATCTTTACATTGTTGCCCTTCGTGTAATTTTAATACTTTGAAGCAATAAAATTATTAATAATATATATTATCATAAATATATAATTTTATATTAAAGCAATATTTTTTTGTACGAACAACATGATGTGATGTTTTTCCTCTTAGAAAAATGGAACGTGATCATAAGATAAATAGATTCTACCCAAGATAACATTGATTATATAATTGTCTTTTTGAAAAAAAAAAATATTAAAGTTGAAAATGAAATTTATATTAAATTAACGTGAATTGACATCAAGGATCTCAATTGTTGTACGAGGGTACATTTATGTTTTAGTCGTTAATATTTGAATATTTTTCCAATTTAATCTATTAGGATGAGTTTGATATTTTTTTTAATTTAAAATATTTTTTTACACTTTATTTTGGTAATCAATATTCCTCAAATTGCTTAAACGGGAAAGAGTCTTTCAAGTAAATTTTTTCCATATTCATCTCTCACGTATCTTTAAATAGATTTTAAAGGAATCCAATTTTTAAAAATTATTTTATATTCGTTACTTGATGATTTTTAAAAAAATACTTTTAGTTACCTAAAATTACATAGGAAACTATATAAAACACATTCATAATTAATAATAAATTATAATTAAATTTAAATATTTAAACCTAATAAATTAATAAAATGTAAAATAAATATATAAAATATGGGTGTATTATTTTTGTTTAAATTGGGCCCATTTGTTAAAGAATTTACATTTTGTTAATTAAAACCTATTCACCACCCTAGGGTTGCCATACCAATTCAACAATTGGTATCAGAGCAAAGTTGCTCTTGTTTGATAAACTTAATTGTTTTTTAGCTATGACAACTTTAAGTTTCATCCCTTTTACCAATAGTCAATCAATCTATTACTAAGCCTCATTTCTTTAATGGTACTAATTATAGTTAATGGAAAAACATAATGAATTTTTTCTTGCTTTCTATTGAATATGATTTATGAGATGTTGTTGAAGAAGGATTTAAAACTCCAACAAAAGATGTTGATGGTGTTAGAGTTGTAAAGCATAAAGAAGAATGGTCTATAAATGAAAATAAAGCATGTTCTTTAAATGCTAAGCTATTAATTACTTGTTTTGTGCTTTGAATGAAGTTGAGTACAATAGGGTGTCTTTTTGTTGGTTGCTCACGTGTGCAAACCAAAAATATTTCCTCCTTTTATATCCTATGCACAAATCTCAATACTCTTTACACAATAGTTAACTAACCAAATTCAACACTACTAAATTTACGATAAAGATTCAATACTCATTTATCAAACATAACTCAAACAAATGCAAAAAGGTCAAAATTTTGACATGACCTCTACTAACATAACCCAAAACCACACCTGAAATATGATAACATATAATACACACTTTATCAATAAACATAATACATATATGACCACCTGTCCATTTACAAACCCAAATTCAGCAACATCCAACACTTCTCTATATATGTAATATAATTGTAGTAAGATCACTCATTCCTCCACGAACTACATTCAGCAACATATCCAACATTTCTAAAACGTAACCCAACTACTTAACATCAAACAAATAAAATTACAAATCCATAAATAAGCCTACACAAATATTTCAACAAAAATTACCCATTCTATTCAAACCTCGTCAATTTCTTCTTGAACTATGTATTATTCACTTTTGAAGTTGTTATGTATATTGATGGATCTGACTTACTTCCCTTCGCATCATCACCTACAAATAAAAAAATGAGTTCATAGGCATTGAATTCAATTATAATACCTGATCTACATTTTGCTATATTTTTTCTTTTCCCCCTGTTGATAGAACAAAATTAGTTATATTCTACATTTTATGAATTCTTAATATCTAATGACATGTTGTTTTCTAGAGGTTTAACATGCTTGTTGACTATAAAATTATATAACAGTATAAAAAGTAGGAGAATCCTACGTGAAGAAGCAAATTTAACTTGAATAAGAGTTTTGGGCTTACCTTATTCCATTACTTTAGATCAACCAACTGAACTAGAGGCATGAAACTTACATTGTTTCTGTAGCTCGAAATCCATCAGCAGCGATCTCATAAGCCTAGAATTCCTAAACTCTACTTGTAGAAAACCAAATTGATCGCCAAACTCCACGCAGATTCGAAGGATCAAATGGAGGTGATTGAAGTTAAACGAACTCATTTGGTTTGAGAGCATCGAATGGGCTAACTTGGCTTCAGCAAGAGAGTGATATTCCAGGCGCGGAGGACCTCGCAAAGCAAAAAGGATAAAAATGGAACTTGCTAGAAAGTAATTTACCTAGGTTCACTCTTCCATGCAAAACCTCCTCAAGAGTTCCATTGAATCACCAAATTATCACAAAACTCTCACTATAACCCGAGATTGAATAACTGTGTCTATGAAATGCTTACCTATGTGCACAAAACAATGCTATTTTGTTAACAGTCAATCAACTCTCTTTCAACTACATTAATGGAGAGAAAAGAAAAAACTATGGTAAACATCAACAAAAGAAACCAAAAAAATAGAGAATGATAATGGATATTTCATCACCAGATGGAATAGGATCTAATCATTGATTTATCTCTTGCTTATAGAATGAATTTACAAAACCTATCCCTTATATGTTAATTGTACTTCCCTGTTATGCAGAGATAAACAAATTATCTTACAAGATACTTTTTAAAATTTCAATTAAAGCTGAATACATTACCCATCAAGAAATAACATAAACAATAGATATGGAATAGTGCCAAAACTGAGCAGAGTAATATGATACTTGAACTCAGTGGACGACTAAAAGGACCTATGCCTCATCATAGTTGTAAATATAATAGATGAGATGAAACCCAAGAAGTCCATTATACTTTGCTAATTAAATAATCTTCTACAATATATCACTTTTAACAAGAAATATCGGCCGCGTAATTATACAAAATATATCAAATGTTAAGTTCATGACACTGTACGCAAGAATTTCTTGCCATCAGTTGGGAATCAAACATAATTCTACTATAAGAAACGTACAACAATTGGTAAAAACTACGAGGTTAGACAATCACTACAAGGAAAACGGGCTTCAGCGACCAAATTGATTTTCGTAGCTGGAATGCTATTGTGACGCTATATTTTCGTCGCTATTTATTTATTACATATATATTTTTACTTGTACGTTTTTTTATTTCTTATGGTGACATTATGCGATTCCGTCGCTAAATACAACGACGTTTTCATTATTTCGTCGCTAAATAAAATCTAAATTTCGATATTAACTACTTAGTTTTCACTACAACAAATTTAAAAAAGAAAACGATGTCAATCAGTGACCGTCATCTATGCGAGTGTCCTTGTTTCTTTTTCAATTACGGACGGTTTTAATGACGAGCAATGCCCGACATGGAAAGTTTTGTTTTCATGACGGGTATGACCGTCATGAAAGGATAACCATGATGCGCAGTGACCGACATCTTTACGAGTGTCATTGTTTCATTTTAATGATGGACGACTTTTAAGGACGGTCATTGCCGGTCATCGTATGTGCGTCATTAAATGTGTGTCATTAAATGTACGTCATTGTATTTGTGCTCTTAACGACGAGGATTGCCCGTCATTGTTTCTTTGATAATTGAATAAAAGAATAATATTGTTGGTTACACGGTAGCAAACCAACAATATCCTCTTTCTCAATCTACAAATAAATATGAAAATATCCTCTAATTCACAAAGAACCATGGGAGAAGAACACAATGAATAATTCAAGAGTTTTCAATAATGAATATGGGCAAATTACACCATTACGCAAAAAAAAAAAACTTGGAATGTAATATATATGTAACACGATGCTTTATAGTTAATGAAAGCACACATTACCTCAACAAAATACCAACCAACTGAACTAAAGACATGAAGCTTCCAACATTTCCAACGGTGCCCTTTCACAAATCTTCCAACATTTCCAACGGTGCCCTTTCACAAATCTTCCAACAATAGTTGCTCATTCTATTCGGACCTCGTCAATTTCTTCCTCAACTATGTATTAGTTACTTTTGAAGTTGTTAGGTATATTGATAGCTTCTTTTCCTTCACATGATCACTTACAAATAAACAAATAGAGGCATTGAATTCAAATATAATACATGATTAAGATTTTGCTATTTTTTCTTTCTTTTCTTTTCTCCCCCATTAAATAGGAGAAAACTAGTTTAGTACGTTTCAAACTTAATGGAAGAAAAGTCAAATTTCAAACACTAATTGACATCCAGTACAAGTTATTACCAGCCCATATGGGTTATTAAAGTACTGCCTCCTCCACAATGGCCTCAATTTCTCCTCTTCTAGCATCCTCAACGGTGAAAATATTTTTCTACTAAACTTTCCTAAAATTGAAACCTGCATGGAGAATGGCAACTCAATTTATTGCCCGCATCAACATAAAATCCACCCTTGTTAACTTCAAGCACCAAACTTCCATGGATGCCATAAAAATTATGAATAGTAATAATGGCACAAAGAGTTGAAACAACGATTGACACAAGCAAAGACCAGAAAACCCGACACATATGCAACCTACGAGATGATAATGTGTTTGATTATTAGTAAGGTGTTAAATCTTCCAAGTGCTACTAATCAAACTTCTATGAAGGATGCACAAGTGAGGATGAAGTTAGAAAAGGGAACATAAAGTGAGCTCTAAGTTTCACTTGATCGCAAGTCCATATAATTTAGTCTTCCAACCTATTCACACAAAATAGTATCTCAATATTGCAACTCAAATCTAACCAACCATGTCTATCTCCTTCCAACCTATTCACAAAATAATATCTCAATATTATTTTCTAATGAATTTATTCCATTTGACACCACTACAACACTACAACAAACTTTCTCAACGTTGTTACAAAGCAAGACAAAGAACAATAAAAACTACCTATCATAGTTATCACATACTCCAAGTGTTAAACTAAAAGAACAAGAAAGCACCAGCGAAGATGTAACCTTGAAAACCATAAAGATTTAAACATATAAGACTATTCACTTGCAATATTTTAAAAGTTATCAAATTGATGTTTACAATATTCAACCATTTAAAAAGTTAATATATTGCTGCTAGAACTGATCCTAATGCCTAAGAAGACTAATTTACTTCCTTACTTGAACAATATCTATTTTACCCCTTGTACCTCTCTGACATTGAGTTCAAAAGAGATTAGCTAACTTTAATGGTGATATCCCATCAGAATAGGTAATAAACAGAAGTTAAATAGCGGCGGGTAAAGTTTTCCAACACAAGTTAAACAACACATCAGAACTCAATAAGTGACTGATCTTAATATTTCACTGACAGAAAAACTATGCAACACAATTAATATTGGAATCAATTTAAAGACATTAAATGCCTTCATCAAAGAGCACAAATATTTCAACCGTATATTTATCCCTTTTCCTATAAAACTATAGATAAATACAACCATATAAATCATTGTTATTATACTTACTTGAACTACTAATTATGACCCAAGGTCAATATAATTAAAAATAATTGAAACTCAATTTTACCTCAACTTAGTTATAAGGATTAAAAAAAAATTATTAGAAAATGCAGCCCAGAATCTAGTTATAAGAATTTTTTATGTAGACACCGGAGAGTAGAAAGATACCAACTTTTGATGCATACATACATGTCTCTAAAGTTAACCATGTGAGTTCTCTTTATTAAATCATACTATTTTAGTTGCAATTTTTTTTTTAGTACAACATGTGGTGGGGGTGGGAGTTCGAACTCATAACCTTTTGGTTAGAAATAAGTGTCTTAACCATTTGAGCTATATTCGGTTTGACATTTTTAGTTGCAGTTATGTTGTTATTTTTGGTGTATTCTATTAAGCAGTTATTTATTTCTGTTTAATTCTCCATATCAGTTAGTGTATTTTGGCCTATAAATAGGTCTGTAATATCTTTAATAAAGTATGGAGAATTACCTTTATTTCTCAAAAGGTATTGTTACATGGTATCAGTTTTTTTTCAAGCCCTTTGACTCACGTCGTCTAGATCCTTCTCCACGCGTCCGCCATTATTGTTTCTCTCACATCGAAATTCTTGTTTCTTCCGCCATGGCTGACTCCTCAACCTCGAAAGAAATTTCTTCTCAGATTTTTCTTCTTTCAAATATATTTAACTTGGTTTCGATTCGTCTTGACGCTTCCAATTTCGTCCTGTGGAAGTTTTAATTGACATCTATCCTGAAGGCACATAAGCTTTTTGGCTTTGTTGATGGTTCTGATGTAAAGCCATCTCCTCGATTACCTTATGTTACTCCGACAGATGTTCCTCAATTGAATCCGACGTTTGAAGACTGGATTGCGAAAGACCACGCTCTTATGACCGTGATTAACGCCACTTTCACCGTCTGCTCTGGCCTACGTTGTTGGTTGTGAGACTTCTAAGGAAGTTTGGGATACGTTGGTGAAGCATTACTCATCCAACTCGAGAACTAATGTTGTAAATCTAAAATCTGATTTACAATCAGTTGTCAAGAAGCCGTTGGAGTCCATTGATCAATATATTCAACGCATCAAAGAATTCAAGGACAAACTTGCGAAGTTTTATGTCCTGATTGACGATGAAGACCTTATCATCTATGCTCTAAACGGCCTCACTGCTGGCTATAACACTTTTCGAACATCGATGCATACTCGTGAGAAGTCTGTGAGTTTTGAAGATCTTCATGTGTTACTCGTCTCAGAAGAAACATCTATTGAAAAGTAGAATAAACGTGATGAAGTTTTCGCTTCTCCTACTGCTCTCTTGGCTACAAGTTCTATGACTTCTCGGAATCAGAATTTCAATCCCAATGTGGGACGTGGTCGTGCTTCTGGTAAGAATCACTTTTCTAAAGCGAAATCTCCTAATTTTGCTCCAACTGGCAATTATTCTACTAATGTTGGACGAGGTCGAGGTCTTCTCCCTCTTGCTCCTACTGGCAAATCATCTCAAGAAGGTTTCTCTTCAACAATTTTTTGTCAGATTTGCCTGAAAATTGGTCACTCTGCCTTGGATTGCTTTAATAGAATGAATTACAGCTTCCAAGGGCGTCATCCTCCTATTCAGTTGACAGCAATGGTGGCCAATCACAACTATGCCACTCTTGCATCCTCTAATCCCTCATGGCTTACTGATTCAGGGTGCAATGCTCATGTCACTGCAGATTTGGATCAACTTAGTACTGCTTCTGAATATTCGGGCGATGAACAGATTGGAGTAGGTACTGGTCAGTCATTGCCAATTGCCCACACAAGTAGTGGTATTCTTCATACCTCTACCTCTTCTCTAAAACTTTGCAACCTTCTTCATGTTCCAACTATTTCATCTAATCTTCTTTCCGTTCACCAATTATGTGTTGACAATAATTGCTTTGTTGTTTTCGATTATAACTACTTCTATATTCAGGACAAGTTTTCGGGCATGATTCTCTTCCAAGGACCTAGTCAAAATGGCTGATACCCAATTCCCTCACTTGACTCTATTGCTTTTGCTTCCATTTCTTCTTCCACGGTTGCTCATGTTGGCACACGGGTATCTTCTACTTCTCGGCATAATCGAATAGGACACCCAAATGATGTTACTCTTAATATTGTTTTTCTTAGATCTTTAAATTTGTCTACTCATTGTAAAGCATCTACTGTTGGGTGTGTTGCCCTAAACTCTTAGTTTGTATTTTGTGTAAAAAAAATGTATATTCAATGAAGTTTTATTCAATAAATTTGTTGTTGAATTCATAGCATTGCATTGTCCAAAATCCAAAAAACTAAACATCCGAGGTTATTTTAGTGTAACCGGGACAGTATATGTACTGGGTATATATTTGATATACGAGGTATATATTTGATATACCCTGATATACAAGTGGATAATGTCCTGTGAATAACCTAAAGGGTTTATAGTATATGGATAAGGTTGGGTACCTTATCCTGGCAACACTATGGATACGGTCCACTCTGTAAAGGTTACAGACGACTCGATTCAGGTCGTTCGTGTGGAGACATGCGAGTGGGGTATCCTATACAATGAGTTTGTATAAGACCGGACCACGAAATAGTCAATCTTTAGATGTAACACCGTTAACTAATAGATTGTTGTTTCTTAGGATGACCAGACAACTCATTCTCAATCCTGAGTGAGTTATAGACTCCTGCCCGTGAGGGCTCGTCCTTTGATCTGTATGGGTGAGAGTGGCCCGAGTTGTTGACTCAATATTCATACCATTTTGGGGACGAGACCTAGTGGGGAGCTAGGAACATAACTTCACAAGATAGAATTCACTCCTCTCTAACTTTAGGGGAATAGATTGTTCCCTTAAATGCTGACTCCGGGACTTGAACAAGGGGCTCCACCCTCTCATTGGCCCGAGAGGGACTTCCGATTATTGGTCGGACCATAACCGGGTTGTTCATTAGAGGAGCAGTGGTATTTAAGGAGTAAGATGTAACTTAGGGCTAAAACGGTAATTTGTCCCAACTTGAGTTACGAGCACTCGTGAAGGATTGACTTGTCATTAATGGTCGTATATCCATGGACACGAAAACATTCTGCAGTGAGAAGAGTGCAACTGCGGGTCTTTAGTGGAATGACCTGTAGTTAACGAATCTTGATTAACTCAGTCAATGAGTTTGACCGATTAATCTTGCATCGTTGGAGCTTCTGATCTGTAGGTCCATTAGGTCCCCTTGCTAGCTCATAACGGGTAAAACGAGGATCAAGTTTTTGGAAGAATTTGAACTGTTCAAATTTCATAAGGGATTATATGTATATTGATACATTATAATATATAGTTAATTCTAAATTAAAACTATATATTATGAGAGAAATTATTTGAATGAGATTCAAATAAAATTGATATGAATAAGATTGATATTAAAACTATAGGTTAAAAATAATGTGCATACGATGTACATTAAAACTACAGGTTATACAAGAGAGAGTTGTTTGAATATGATTCAAACTTATAATTATATTTAATTAATATTTGAATTTGATTAATTATTAATTAGATTAATAA